GAAATAACTTTAATATCTAGAATAAAATTTCCTGAAAAATTCTGATTGATTTGAATATATATTTCTTTTTTATAGATGAATTAATAGTAGGATCTCTTGTAAGGAAAAAAAAAATTTTCACCTTTTAATCATTGACTTCTCCCTTAAATATCATCTCAAGTTAATATTAATTTGATCCTGATATCCTTGTTTTTCTACCTAATTTTGCCATTCTTATCAGAAGAGTTTATTTTTCTCTTTTTCGGTTCACTTTTAATTTCCAGGGTTCTGCATGAACTTTGATTATTTTTCCTAAATTGACATATGTTGAAGGTAGTTTTAATATTAATGTATGCATCCTTTTCAAGTTCAAGCTTTACGCCTACCCTGATAATTGTTTATTCTTTAAGCTAGGCTTCACTCTATGTGATAATCTGAAGATATAGTTTATATATTTAATTAATTGAAGATCTGGATTCAACATTTTATATTCTTGTTTCCCTTTTTGTAGAATCTTTTTAATTTCTTTTTTCCCACTATTTCTAATTATTATACTGGATTCATGCAACTTATTCTTCTCTTTTTTAATTTATAGATTAATCCATTATATTTTCTTATTATAATGGAGAAATTTCAAATATTCAACTTTTAATTAATAGAACAATATTTTTGTTTATTAATTCATATGGTAAATATCCTTAATTTTTTAAATTCCAAAATAATAAATATTATCCATAACTGGAGATAGTCCCATAAATATGATATGTATAAATTTCTGTAATTAACTATTTTAAACTACCCATCATTCGTTTAAGTAATTATATAAATATAGTTTTTAAAACTTATTACAATCAAAGTTCTCTTTAATGAAAGTTATCTGAAAAACAATATTCATTTTAGATTTAATTATAATTTATTATTGAATTGTTACTCTTAATTATCTTCAAAGATTCCATCTTTTAATTAAAATACATAGTCTGTCTACTTCACGATAACCAATTAGCCAAATAAATTATTTCTTTGTAACAAACTTAACCTTTTTCCCTTATTCTTAAATTGATTGTTTATAGGTGAAAAAGATGATAACTATAATTCAATGCATTTATAATACCCTCAATTTATGAAATTTCATCAATTATAACTACACTTTTGAATTCTTACTTGTCTTATTCTCTTCCTTACCAAATACTAATTTAATCTTATGATACTACATAATTTTCTGTCTAATTTTAAATTAATGCAGTAATATAATTATTACTTTAATTGATCTATCATCGCTCCCAGAAAATTATAAATCTTCATTAGAATTTAATATCCTACATATTACATCATCTGTATGTTATACATAAAGTTGTGAATTAATCCAATTAGTTTAGTTCGATTATTACCAGAATCTTATTGTCTTATCTCCAGCACCTGAAATAATGAATTATGTTTCTTACTGTACACTAAACAGTAAATCCTTTTTAGTATATATCATAATTGATCTAGATAATTCAAATACTATTGTTCTACATGAATTACTTTATTTAAATAATTCTTTAATTTACTTTAAATTGATGTTAGAAACTTTAATAACTGATAAATTTATTCAATAATATTAACCTTTCTTTTATCTTTATTGGATTAATTTAAATTATTTTATAATTTAGGGCTTATTAATACTATCAATTAACATAATATTAGAGACATAACTAGTATCCTAGATATTAATGTAGTCATCTAACTCATCATTAAAATTGTGTATAATATAATCTTTAGGTTGATACAATATCACCCTTAAGCTAAACTAAGTACAAAATCAAATAAATTTATAAATA